TGTGTGTGTGTGTGTGTGTGTGTGTGTGTGTGTGTGTGTGTGTGTGTGTGCGCATGCGCGCACACGCCAGTCCTGGGTCTTGAACGTATGGCCTGGGTGCTGTCCCTTACCTTTTTGTCACTCAAGGCTAGCATTCTACCACCTGAGCCACAGCGCCACTTCTGGCCTTTTGGTAGTTCATTGGAGATAACGGTCTCACAGACTTTCCCGCCTGGGCTGGCTTCAAACTGCCAGCCTCAAATCTCAGCCTCCTGAGTAGCTGGGATTCCAGGCGTGAGCCGCCAGCGCCCAGCTCAAGCTTTCCTTCTGACACACCAGAGCACGATGGCCGGGCCAGGTCTTACCTGGGTCCCCCGTAAGCAACGGAATAGCGGTTCAGGTTGTAGCTCTGCCCTCCCACGCGCACAGAGACGCTCCTGTTGACAGCCCAGAAGTCCAGCTCCAAGGCCAGCGTCTGGATGTTCTCCCTGGGGTGGAGCGAGCAGCACTCAGCGTGGGGCTGTGTGGCTCCCGGCCCGCCCAGCCCAGGCCGCTGCTCGCTCACCGCAGGAAGGTGACGTTGTGGGTGGCGTCCATGTATCGGTCCATCATGAGCGCCAGGAGCGGGGGCTGGCTCCTCTGCAGGTAGTACACGCGCCCGCCGTTGGGGATGTGCCCATAGCTGCCAACAGAGACCGGCTCACAGTCTCTGCCGGTGGCAGGGCTCAGGCGAGCCCCGCCCCAAGCCTGCGGCCACACGTGCCCCTGTGTGGACGCACACGTGCCCGCGCTTACGTCTTCACCAGGCCCAGGAAGTTCTGCAGCATGCCGGCCACCGTCTGCACCATCTCAGACAGGAGCAGACCCTCCATGACCCAGTACGAGTCCCTGGGGGGAAGCAGCCACCGGGCGTCAGCCTGCCACCATCCAGGGCACTGGCCCTGGTTCAACCCCCCTCCCTGCACCCCCTCTGCCCGGGGGGGGGGCTCACCAGTAGTAGAATTCTACAAAGCGGCCGCCAGGCACAATGAAGGGGTGTGGGGAGTAAAGGAGCGAGAAGCGCTCGGGCTGGCTGAGAACCTCTGGCTTTATCTGGAGGGAGGCGAGAGGGGGTGGCGGGCGCCTGGCATCCGCCCCAGGGTGGGGCTGGACGAGGCCAGGGGTGGAGGTCCGGCCTCCAAGGCTGAGAGCCCGCGTCTGTCTCTGTGGCTCTGCTGTGTGGCCGGGGACCAGTGGCGGGGGCCAGTGGCGGGGACCAGTGGCGGGGAGCCAGGGCGAGCGTGTCCCCCACGCACCAGCTTCAGGGGGGGACTGGGCTCACCAAGTGTGCAGAGCCCCGAGCAGGCCGGGGACAGGCCAGTGTGGCCCCATCATGGCTCCACTCGGGTGGGGCTGAGGGAGGGGTCCTGGCCCCCTCCTCCGGTGCCCCCCTCCCCCAATTCCAGCTGCCACCACCAAGCCAGGCCCGAGGGGTAACTCCTCCTCCAGCTTCTGCCCAGCAAGGTGGAGCCCGACCCTTCCCCGGGCTGTGGGGGCCGCGGCTGAGGGGCAGCCAAGCTTAGGAGGGTCCCTAGGTTGAGGAATCTGTGGAAGAGAGAGCTGGGGGGTCCTGAGCGACTCGGGGGACCACCAGCCTCTCTGCAGGCCTCGGAGACAGGAGAGGCTTCTCTCCAGGCTCCGCAGGCAGGGCCGCCTGGCAGTGACTGAGCCTCAGGGAGAGACGGAGAGGCCAGGAGGCCCGGGCACAGGAGGCTTGCTGCGTGGGGATGAGCAGCAGGGCTTGCCTCCTGGCCTCCGTTCTTTCTGAGGGGCTCGTGATGGGCATGGGGTGGGGATGTGCTCTCAGGGCTCTTCCCCCTGCCTCTCCCCAGGAAGCTGTTACCTTCTTCCCCAGCTTCCTCCAGATGTGGTGCAGCTGCTCCGCCCAGGCGCGCAGCCTGGCATCGGCGATCCTCTGCAGGAACCGGGGGCTGGAAGAGCGCCGGGCCCAGCAGGTTCAGGGGCGGGTGGCCTGGCCCAGGGGCCGCGCCCAGCCCTCACGCAGAGCCATACCTGCCGTGCCAGTCCTCGGGGGACCACGCCTCCAGCTCCTGCCCCACAGGCCGGAAGTGCTGCTGGACGAACTCGCGTAGCTGCGGCGCGGGGACGCTGTGGTTGTGGGCCTCGGCCAGCTCCCTGAAGCGGCGGAGCACTTGGTCTGCAGCACAGCAGAGGGAGGGCTCAGTGGGTCCAGAGAGGCCTCCCCCACCCCCCCCCCCCCCCCCAACGGCCTCTGTGAGCTCTCATGGCTGTTTCTTTGGGTGGAAGCTTCGGGAGAAGGTGTGAGGGCCTCACCTGGAGCCGTGGACAGGGACATGTCCACAAACTGCTTGTCGTCCGGGTAGAGCTTGGCCATCTGGATCGCGTGCAGGAGCTCCCCATGACAGTACACCTGGCTGCAGACACAGTCAGAGGTGGGCGCGGTCAGGAGGAGGGCTGCAGCCTGCGGCCAAGGCTCCGGGGTTGGACAGGGACTGCCTGTGTGCATACATGTGTGCATGTGTGCATGGTGAGCTGTGTGCTTACATGTGTGCATGTGTGCGTGGTGGGCTGTGTGCATACATGTGTACATATGTGCATGCTGAGCTGTGTGCATACATGTGTGCATGGTGGGCTGTGTGCATATGTGTGTGCATGTGTGCATGGTGAGCTGTGTGCATACATGTATGCACATGTGCGTGGTGAGCTGTGTGCATACATGTGTGCACGTGTGCATGGTGAGCTGTGTGCATACATGTGTGCACATGTGCGTGGTGAGCTATGTGCATACATGTGTGCGTGTGTGCATGGTGAGCTGTGTGCATACATGTGTGCGTGTGTGCGTGGTGAGCTGTGTGCATACATGTGTGCATGGTGAGCTGTGTGTGTGCGTGTATGTGTGTGCGTGTATGTGCGGTTTGTGGGTAGTAACATACACGTCCAAGGGCTTTGTGCAGCAAAGGCCTGGCAAAGCACTGGCCACTGACTGACACAATGAACAAGGCCTGGTAGAGGACAGGCATTAGTGCTTTGGGAATGACACATTTGGTGCCTGGCACCAGTGGCTCACTCCTGTGATCCCAGCTACTCAGAAAACAGATCTGAGGATCCTGAATGTCCCTGGGACCCTTATCTCCAATGAACCACCAAAAAGCCAGAAATGGAGCTGTGACTCAAGGGGTAGAGTGCTAAGTGAGAGTCCAAGGCCCTGAGTTCAAGCCCCAACATCAGCATATATAAAATAAAAACAGGAGCAGGCAATTCAAACACTGGTGTCTAAAAATGAAAAGCATGAAGTGCAGGCTGACACGCCCTGGCAGCTGTGTGTTCATACTTCACATGAGGGTCTCTGGGTGGATGCGCTGCATTTTTGGGGGGGGGGAAGAAGGGAGAAGGAGGGAGGGTGCAGGTATGACTACACAGTTTCCCCGGGGCCTCTCAGCTCCTGTTCTAATGCAGGCGACCGCCCCAGGGCCCGGACGCATCTGTGCTGTTATAGCAGGGAGATTCCACGCAAAACACTCGGGTTACTCTCCAAAACCTCTGTGCTGAACTCTGGGGGTGCTGGTGGGGTGTCTGCAGCCCCTGCCCCTAGGAAGGGGGGGCGCCTGCTAGAGTAGCATTGCCGCCAGCAGTCGGGAGCAGCACAGAGACCAAACCTAATGTTTCCACCTTTCAGATCCATGGCTCCCGCCTGCCATCCTAGCCACTCAGGAGGCTGAGATCTGAGGATGATGGTTCAAAGCCAGCCTGGGCACAAAAGTCCATGAGACTCTCATATCCAAAAAGCCAGAAGTGGAGTTCAATTGGTAGAATACCAGCTTTGGGAATAAAAAACTAAGCAACAGAGCCCAGACCCAAAGTTCAAGTCCTAGTACTGGAACACACAACACATTGATAGCACATGGACAGGCCAGGTAGCCCAGAGTAAAGGAATGAACAACTGGTTTACACAGCAAGGGAAACCCGACATCTCATTAGTGCTGGAGAGTCTCAGACCAGGAGAACAGCATGGTCTCTTAACGCGAATTTGCCAGATGTCAGAAGCAAGGCAGCGGGGCAGGGCCAACAGCACCTCTGCCTTTGGAATCTGACAAGACCGATGGCAGTGTGTGGTCTTGAACAGGCTGCTCCGGAAGGCGCGCCAACCACGCAATACTGTGCAGCGGGGCTTTGCCAAGGTGGAGCCGGATCTAGGACTCGGGAGGAGCGCGGTGGCGCATTTGGGAAGGTTTCCAGGCACTACTCGCCGCTGGGCCTTTGGACTGGGTGTTTTGCTGAGTGGCAGATTAATTACTGAGTAACTGTAAACCCAGATAACCAAATGCTTACAGAGGACGTGGGTGGTGGTGGGTCTGGGGGGTGTAGCTCAGGGGTAGAGGCCTGGCTTAGTGTACACGAGGCCCCAGTTCCATCGTCAGTACCCCCCCCCACACACAGCCGCAGGTTATAATAGACAAAACCAGGCGGGGTGGCTGGTGTGCTTGCTGATGGAGAGGGGAAGGAGGCTCCTTCTGGAGCTGGCACACTGGGCCAGAGCACATGTCAGGCCTGGGCGGAACCCGGTGCTCTCGACAGGCAATGAGGGTCCCTCACACCCAGGCTTGGAGCATTGAGCAGAGATTAAGGGAACAATCAAGAGAACATATTTCCTGTTTTATGCTAATGATGAGATTCATTTTTCTCCACCACCCGCCCCTTGCCCGCAGTCCTGGGGCTTGAATTCAGGACCTGGCAGCTGTCCATGAGCCTCTTTGTGCTCAAAATCAGCACTTTACCACTTGAGCCACAGCACCACTTGCAGCTTTTTCTGAGTAGTTTATTGGAGATGAGCGTCTCACAGACTTTCCTGCCTGGGATGGCTTTGAAATAATGATCCTCAGATCTCAGCCTCCTGAGTAGCTAGGATTACAAGCCCAGCTACATTCTTTTTTTTTTTTTTGCGGGTTGTGGGGCCTGAACTCTGGTCCCTCAGCTCTTCAGCTCAAGGCTAGCACTCTACCACTTGAGCCACAGTGCCACTTCTGGCTTTTTCTGCTTATGTAGTGCTGAGGAATCGAACCCAGGGCCTCATGCATGCAAGGCAAGCACCCTACCTCTGAGCCACCTTCCCAGCCCTGGCTACCTTCTTGATGTGTCAGTTTGCCGCTGGCTGGCAGGCATCATCCCAGGACTAGAGCTTGCGGCAGGAGGAGGCCTGCCCTCCTTGCCTCCCCTCCGATGCTTCCGTCCTGCGCAGGACTGAAGCTCTGATGACAGCTTCCAGCTCTGGTCCCTCACCCCCAAGCCTTCCCACATGCCTACCTCTCGCAGGGTGGGGGCAGGGCCTCCTGGGCCCTCAGCCCCAGCCCCAGCAGAAGCAGCAGGTGCAGCTCCCAGGGCCTCCCGGGCATGGTGGCGGTGGCTGTGACTGGTGGAGTGAGCGAGTCCCGGCACCCCTCCCTGGTCAGGCCAGGCCCAGCTGGCTTGCTCTGCCAATCAAAGTCCAGACTTGGGGCGTGGTGACCGCTGCTCCGGGGACACAGTGGTCACCTTCCATTTGACTTTTTTTTTTTTTTTGCCTCTTCTGTTTCTTAGTCTCAGCCGATGCCCAGGGCAGGCCCCGCCCTCAGCTGTGCCAGTGGTATTGGAGCAGTGGGCACCGGAGAGCCTGGGATGTAGTGAGGGCCACGTAGCTCATATGTGAGCACACATCCATGATCTGGATGGCAGTTCTGTGGACCAGCCCTGCCATTCCATGAAGAAAGGGATCACGGAGACCCACCACAGTGCTAACTTTCGCCATGGGTCTTGAAGGTTGCTCAGGAGTTTGCCAAGGGAACGAGCAGAAGGAAACCATTCCAGTGCATGAAGAGCGGGCCGGCTGGGGGTGGTGAGGAGCTCAGCCGGCTCCCTGGACTTGGCGTCCGTGCTGGGAGCCTGGGAGACAAGGCGGGGGCATGGGGACACCAGTCTCGACAGGGCCTGTGCCAGACCAAGAAGGCTTCCCCGAAGAGGAGCCGGCAGGGAAGGTGGGGGCTGAAGTTGCAGGCTCAGATTTGCTTCTGGAAGCTTCTCCCTCTGCATGGTGGAAGAGGAGTTGGCTGGAGCCAGGACCAGCAATGCAGGCCATCCCATCCGGGACTTGCTAGAAATAATCCCAGGCAGAGGAGGGGGATGGGGCGGAGCTTACTGCCAGCTGTCACCTCTGACCTTAGTGACCGGCATGGCGACCCTCCCTTCAGACTCAGGTTGGCACTTAAGGGTGTCAGCTGTAGCATCCCAGCAGTGTCCGTCACTGTTGAAGGAAAACTAAATTAGCAATATCTATTTGAGCAATGAAACAAATCAAGAATCAGGCAGCAGCATCTCGAGCCAAAAGGCATTTATAGACAGCAAAAGGAAGGGATGTCAGAAACGTCCTGATTGGTTCCCCCTGGGCATGTTCCTTATTTTGGACATGACTGAGCTCGTGATTGGCTGATACTTGACCACTTGTCAGGAAAATGAATCCTCAAGTTAAGTTGCGTCCGTTTACTCATCAAGTTGGGTGGCCGAGGGCAATGGTGCAGACGAAGCTCCCGGCCTCAACTTCAAGAGACTGACAGCTGCGGCTGTAATGGACTTGTTTGTTCAGTCTCGATGTGGAACTCACAGTTCACACCATTATATGGGAATTTAATCATGAGATACAGAGGAGCCACAGAGAGGTGGGATAGAGGATTCTCATTTCAGCACAACAGGCGGTGGCTGCGTGGGAACCCGGGGACCCGAGGACTAGCCTCTGCGGGTCTGTGGTGCGGGGAACGGGAGGCAGTGTCAAGAAACTGAAGTACATGGCTTTTTTTGAACTCAGGACCTCATGCTTTTGTTCAGCTTTCTTGCTCCTGGCTGGTGCTCTACTACTCTACTACTTTAATCACACTTCTGTTCCAGCTTATGGATTTTTTTGTCTGTTTTTTAAATTTCTTTACCAGTTAATTGGAGATGGAGTCTCACAGACTTTTCTGCCCTGGATGGTTTTGAACTTTGATCTGATTCAGATCTTAGCTAGGATTACAAGTTTGAGCCACCAGTGCCTGGCTGAAGTACATGTATTAATAGTAGTCTCCGTGAACCTAACTAATCACAGGAAAATAATTCAAAGTTCAGATAATAAGATAGTTGAACAGTATTCAGGTACAAGCTGGTCATAGGCTTGTTTTATGGAGAGGCTGTGATTAAGGACCATGACTCAGTACAGGATGGCTTGATTTGAAGAGGTAACCTTTTTCTTTTCTTCCTTTTTTAAAAAATAAGCAGCACTGGGCTGGGAAGGTGGCTCAGTGGTAGAGCGCTTGCCTTGCATGCATGAGGCCCTGGGTTCAAATCCTCAGCACCACATAACCAAAAAGAAAAAGCCAGAAGTGGCGCTGTGGCTCAAGTGGTAGAGCGCTAGCCTTGAGCTGAAGAGCTGAGGGACAGCACCCAGACCCAGAGTTCAGGCCCCATGAAAAAAAAAAAGCAGCACTGGGGCTTGAATTCAGGGCCTGGGCACCCTCCCTTAGCTTTTGCATTCAAGGCTGGCACTCTACCACTTGAGTCACAGCTCTACTTGTGGCTTTTGGGTGGTTAATTGGAGAGAAAAGGCTCATGGACTTGCCTGCTCAGGCTGGCTTCCAATGATCTTCAGATGTCAGGCTCCCTGAGTAGCCAGGATTAAAGGTGTGAGCCACTGCACAGGGCATCATTGTGGCTTCTTACGGGTAGAGTACAGGAGCACATTTAGTGGGGAGGAACCTCCTTGGATTTAATACATTAAACGTTTCTAGTGACAACCTACCAGCAAGTATTTGGGCTATCGAGCTCTTCATTTCCACGAGTTCAGTTGGATTGTGTTTCAGGACGCCTGCACCTTCATGGAATTTCCCTTTCCCAGCATGCACGGCCTGGGCCTGCATTCCATTCAGGTGCTGGAATTCTCTTTGAGCTCAGTTAGTTGTTTGTATCATCTTTGCATTCACGCCGCTGCTTAGCCAGCTCCCCGTTTCATGGGCCATTTGTCTAGTTTTGAATTCGTTGCCTTGAGTTTCCTCCTCTTCCCTCTCACTTAAGTTCTTCACTTGGGATTGTTGGCTTTTGAAGGCGGAGGCATGTTGCTGGCTTCTTGGTGAGTGTTGTGTTGTTCCTTTCTTGCTGTGAGTTACAGATCCAGATCAGGATCTGGGTTTTTCCCTGGGGTCCTTTGCGTTGGGGATTCTCTGAGGTCACAGGGAGCCGGGTGAGTGACTGGGGCTGGACTGTGTTTTCTTGTTACTAGATGGGAGGGGTGCTCCTTAGCCAGACCTCCAATGCTGACGACACTGCGCGCGCGCACAGCTCTGCTATACTCAGGTGAGAAAGCGTCTCGCGGTTGATAAACCACAACCTTGACCTTGTGACAATCCGTGATGATGACGCGTCATGCTAATTATACTGGTATAGCTCTGTATATGTATAACATCCAAGTATACTATATATGTAATCTCTATTGCATGTTTATATACATATATATTTATAAATATATAACAAATACATTTACACAATATATAAATATATTTTACATATAAATGTCTATACAGGTGGTAGCTATACATACAAATATACAATATACATATACATATAGTTATATAAATATGTTTATGAATATATTCACATTGATGTATAAATATACATTACATAAAGTATGTATATGCATGCGATATAGAAATACAAATATACATGTATATGCATATAACACTTATAGAAATAGATAAATATATAATATTTACAAATATATATTTACATAATGCATAGTATGTCTTGTATAAATCTGTCTATATAGGTGACATATCACTCACAATATGCCACACACATATCTGTATATACAGACTCCACCTGTGAGGGTGCAGGAGGTGTCATGTGACTTGGAGGGAGCAGCCCATCCCACTGGCCATCAGCCGGGCAGCAGGCCTGGCCCACGGCGTTCCCGAGGCCCTGGCTCAGGCAACAGGACTCATGCAGGTCAGGACGGGCGGGGCTGGGCCTCCTCCCCGCAGGGCGCAGCTGTCTCCCGTGGAGCCTCTGCTGGGCATCGTGGGCGCCGCTGCTCTGCTCTGTGGACGCCGGAGCGGCCGCACGTGTGAGCCCCGGCCCCCACCGCCCGGCTTTCCCTTGGCACCTCGGGCCTCCACCCCTGGCATCTGGGCTGCCAGTGTGGTTCCACAGCCCTGCCGCACATCTTCCAAACCTGTGGCAAAGCGTCTAAGTACTCGGGCGGTGGCTGAGGCCCCGAGAGCCATTCGGTCTCCAGCAGCCGGCGCCCCTCAAGGTGGCATCTGCTCCGTGTCCGCGGTGAGGGAAGCGGCGCCTCGCTCCACGCGCTGAGCGGCCACGCGGGAGTGGGGCGGCCTCCCACACCTCCCAGCTGGGATTGAAGACGTGAGGGTGTGTGGGCTTTCCCTGGCTGAAAAATGAGTCTGGAGAACCAGGCACTGGCTCGCATTTCTGCATACAATAATGATGATGATGATGATATTATTCTTTTCTGTTGGTTTGATTTCTCTGTACATTTCTGCCTTTCTGTCGCTTCCTTCATGGTTCTTGATTCTCTTCTTTTTTTGGGGGGTCCGGTCATGGGGCTTTTACTCTGGGCCTGGGCGCTGTCCCTCAGCTCTTCAGCTCAAGGCTAGCACTCTACCACTTGAGCCACAGCACCACTTCCGGTTTTCTGGTGGTTCATTGAAGATTCTCAGGGACATTCTGGCCCTGGCTGGCTTTGAACTCTGACCCTCAGATCTCAGCCTCCTGAGTAGTTAGGATGACAGGCGTGAGCCACCAGCTCTCGGTTGAGAAATACCTTTGAGACAATCCAGGCGGCTTTGGCTGGTAACCACTGTGCACTGTTGTACAACACATCCCATTCAATAAACATCTGTATCAGTAAGACACGGACCATTCATGCCCCACAGGGAGACGCACAGCTGAGTAACATTTTCATTACATTTCAGCACCAGCCATATCTCCTCAGTAACACCAGGTCACTAGAAAACACAACACTGAACGTGTGATTAAATCAACGTCTACCTGTGTCACCGAGGCTTTGTCCTTAGCAGAATTGCAGGTTTGACAAAGTAAACACTGGTGAGAAGTCATCTCCGTGTTTTTAGAACTGGCTCTCCATGTATAGCTTTTCTTAGTCTGGATCGGGTTCTCTCCCTGATGCTGAATCACTGAGTGCACAGCTTGTATGAGGGAAGCATTAGGACTCAGCAGGGCGGGACAACTGTTTGCAGGCCTTGCTTAAGGAAGTATTTCTGTCCTACCCCACCCCATCCTGCGCCCAGCTCCAGTCAGGGGACAGCAGCATTTATTAAGTAGGTATCACAGGGAATTGAACTCCAATGACATACCTTTTCCCCACTCAGGGCCTGGGCACTTCCCTAAGCTTGTTTTGCTCAAGGCTAGCACTCTACCACTTGAACCACAGCACCATTTCTGGCTTTTCTGTTTATGTGCTACTGAGGAATCAAACCCAGAGCTTCATGCATGCTAGGCCAGCACTCTACCAAGCCACATTCCCAGCCCTCCAATTTCATATCTTAATTCTAGTATTGGCTACTTCAGCATGAAAACCTTGTATTTAGTTAACTCTTGTTTTGTGTGCTGTTGGGTTAGTCATATGATGAAGTAGCCTGTCCAGGGTAGGAGCTTAAATGACCAGAGAGAAAATGGCCTGATCAGAGTCCTGTCCATGAATCTCTGAAGAGAAGTGCTTTAGGTAGGCCTGTAGTTGACTGGAAAACAGTTGACTTTTGTATATTAACTTTGTGTCCTGTACTCTTGCTATAACTGTGTTAGCTCAAAAATGTTTAACTGTTGATTTATGAGAGATGTTGGTCTGTTGTTCTCTTGGAAATTTTGTCTGGTTTTGGCATTAGCGTCATATGGACTTCCTAACAAGGAGGAGATGATAGAGAATTGCTATAATGGCTTCCTTAAATATTTGGAAGAATTTACCAGTGAACCAATATGGGCGGATAAATCTTGGATCCTCCAGCTCTCTGACTCCTGGATAGCAAGGATTTTAGGTGTGATCAATCTACCAGCACCTAGCAGTCCAGGAGCATCAGGGCCACACCAAACCCCTCCTAGAGGCAGGCAGGACAGTTGGGAGAGGAGGAAGGGCGCCTGGGCCCTTTTGGGGGTTATTGTAGCTCCTCCTCAGGGCCTCTGACACCACCTGTCCTCCATACTGGGGACAAGGGGACGGTGGTAGGTCAGGCGCTGGTCCCCAAGCCACCCACCACCCCAGCAGGTCAGTCAGCCCAGCTCCTCTGGCCTGCAGCGATGGTCCCTGCAGTTCCCAGGAATGGCCACTGGGTGTCACCACCATCCTGGCTGGGCCGCCCTGGTCCAGGAGAAGCCTGACACCCTGGCCTCCTCTAATGGAGGAGGTCCCCGGGGACAGAGGGACGCCCAGCGCCAGCTCACCTTCTCATACATGGCTGACTTTTGGGAGTAGACGTCAAAGTTGGTTCTGATCCAGTGCTGGGCCAGCTGGAAAGCCACTTCTTGGGTCCGAGGGGACACTGACTTGGTCAAGCCTAGGGCCCCAGGCAAGGCAGGACCTGAATCTCCAGAGCCTCCATCCCAGCAGAGCAGAGGCCGGGGGACTTGGTTGCCCCCAGGCCTCCTTTCTGGACCCTCAGGCCATACCTCGGGGTAGAGAGAAGGGACAGGGGCTGGACATGTGTGCTGAGCGGGGCCAGAGCAGCCCAGGAGGCAGGGGAAGGAGGAGGCCTGCATCTCTAGTCCACAGCGCCCAGAAGCCCAGCTTGGCCCGTCCTCCGTGGGGCCAGGTCCTGGCAGATGCCCCCTGCCTGCCTGCCTGCCTACCTCTGATGACCAGGTCCTGGAGGGGGGCCCAGCCATTGGGGAAGTCCCACTGCTGGCCTGTGCTGAGGAGGGAGGTCAGGATCCCATGCTGGTAGGCCAGGATTTGGCTGTCCTAGAAGGTTCCAGATATTTCCTTGAGTGAGTGTAAGCCAGGATGCTTCCTCAGGAGGAAGCCCGCTCCCTGTGCCCTTTCTGGCCTGGCCCTTGTCTTCTTGGCTCGCAGCTGCCCCCATCTGGTCGCAGTGGGAACTACAGGCTGAGCTAGGCTCAGAGAGGAGGGAATGGCTGGCCTGCAGGTCTGTGCTGTCAGCAGAGCCAGTGCTGCCTCAGGGCCCCAGAGCTGCCCCTCCTCCCCCCTCGCTGCTCCCCTCACCTCCAGGTATTTCAGAGCCTTGTCTGGGATGCTGGAGTCAGAGAAGCAGCCGGCCCAGAGCGGGGTGAGGTTGGATGGGTAAAACTCCAAGTTGTTCCTGCCATTTTCTAAGTCATAGTCGAACCAGGCTCCTTTCTGCTCCTGCCAGAGGACGGCCTGCATGGCGGCCATGCGCTGGGCCCGCAGGTTCCTGTACTTGGTGGCCTGGGAGTCGTTCCCTGGGGGACATGACCTCCGGTCTCAGCAGGCGGGGCTCTGCCCCTGGACCACAAAACTCCTTGGTCTCCTCCTTGGCCTGGAAGTGGCCGGCATGGAACCTGCCTGTGGGGCTCTTTTACCAGCTCCTCGTCTTCCCCACCAGCCCACGGAGCCTTGTGGGCCAAGCGGGAGCTCAGCCCAGCCCCGCTGCGCTGCTCCCTGGCGGGGCCGGGGGCAGGCCGGCAGCCCTGGAAGTGCCTCTACCTCCAGCGCCCTGCTGACCCCAATGACGCGGTGTGAGTCCCTCCCTGCACTGTCCCGCCTGCCCCTCACCCTGCACGTCCTCCAGCCTGGGGAGAGGGGTCTCCCAGGACTATAGTTCTGGGCATTGATGCCAACTTTTCAAGGAAACGTGGCCACAGGCCCACGGAGGTGGAGCCTTCATTTACAAGAGTCTCACAGGGATGCCACCCACTTGCTGGCAGAAGCAGCTGGGCCGCTGGCTGGAGCCTCCTGGGCATCTGGCTCTTGCTCTGCGCTGGTCCTTGGGCAGGAGAGACCCCCAGAGGGCAAAGGGCAGGGCTGGGAGGAGGGTGGCGTGGAAGAGCTGTAGGAGTGCAGGGGTGAGCCACGGAAGAGGGCAGCCCCACTGGGGCTGGTCCCCAGCCCTGCCCCTCCCCTCCCCCACGCCCAGGGCAGCGGCCTCCACTCAGCCAACATCTGGAGGAGCAAAGCCAGGAAGGCACCGCTGCAGCCAGCCCCCCACTCCCACACAGCTCCACCAACGCACAGCCACCTGCAGATCAAGGGGAAAGAAAGTCACCCCAAGTGAAAGATGCAAGCGAGGAGGCCACACACACACACACACACACACACACACACACACACACACTCACTCTCACAGTCTGTGCCCCATCTGCATTTCTGCACAGAGCAGCGGTTTTTGCAGCCCCGGGGGTGCAGGCTGCAGCGGGGCCTGGCTTTGAGCCGCTGTGGCAGCCGCCCGCCCCTGCCCACCCCGCCTGCCAGGCTCTCATTTTCACCCCCACCACCGCGGCTTCCTGTTTCCCCCATGGGAACAGGGCACAGGGCACTGCTGCCAGCAGGCCACGCTCCTGGACTCTCCCAGCTGCAGCCTTGACCAACAGCCCTGAGCTGACTGGTTCCACTGGGGCCTGGGACTCCGGAAGCGGAGTCCCTGGGAATGAGTGCCGGGAATGGAACACGGATGAAATCTTTGGAGCTGCAGAAGCTACTTTGCAACCAGGTGGCCATGAATGGGGAGCCTGAGACCCAGATGCGTCCCATGGCAGGGCGGGGAGGGAGGAAGGGACTGGGCCTTCTGTGGCTTGAGTCTGAAGCCTTGGACTGAGAAAGCCTGCTGTGGCTGAAGGCACTGCTTTTCAGGTGCGCGTCAGCCACCGCTGGAGGAAATGCAGATCGCCTGATGAGTGGCTACTGTTCCCTTCGGTTCGGACATTTCCTTCATTCCCATGTCATTTCTAGCCAGCTTCCAGGGTCCTAGTACTGTTTAGCATTCCGCTGGCTCCGTTTAGCTTCAGCCCAGCTCAGAGGGAAGGAAGAGCGCATAGACAACAAAGAGCTTCTTGACTCCCTGCGCTCAGATCCAAACATCCATCACCAGGGACTGAGAAGGCGCTGGGTTTCATGGCAGTAGCTCCCTGTGCATAGGGCTGTGCATGCCTAGTCCTGGGGTGCCGGCTCTGTTCAGTTTCATGACCCATAACAAGTGTCTGCATGCAGTGATCAAATGTGGTTGAGAGCCCTTGCACTCAATGTTCTACGTAGCTGGTTGTAAAGTCATTTGAAAGCTTGAGAAGACACCAGTCCTTCCGGCTGGGTGGCTGGGCCCTTTGACAAAGGGAGGGCTCAGGCGGCTGCCCCCTGCCCGGCAGAGCTGGCAGGCACCTCGGGGAAGGGAGCCGCACAGTTCATCATCTTAGAATTAACGGCACACCTGCGTGGAGAGACAATCGGAACGCAGGTGAGACTGCGGGCTCCCGCCGCGAGCGCCGCCGTCAACCCCCTGGCTCAGGACTGCTTGCAGGGCCCGAGTTCAGCCACCTGGCTTGCTCCTGCAGCTCTCACCTTGGACCCCTGAAGCCCAAACCGACTTCAGTAAGAGGCTCAGGAATGCAGGCTCTCCGCTCAGCCCTGGAACTTCTTGGAGCCTCAGTTTCCACATTTGCCAAGTGGGGAAAGACACAGCCCTTCCAAGGCTGCCAGGAGTCGCTAATGGCGTATTCTAGGCCATTATGCCTCAGTCAAGGGCAGTGGCTGTTTAATTCCAGACTAGAGAGACGCCCTGGCCATGTCCCTATTTGTTTTTGTGCCAGCCCTGGGGTTTGAACTCGGGGCCTGGGCATATTGTTTAGCTTTTTTTCTCTCAAGGTTGGTGCCATACTACTTGAGCCACCACTCCACTTCTGGCTTTTGGGTGGTTAATCAGAGATGAGTTTCACAGACTTTCATACCCAGGCTGCTTTGGAACCCAAATCCTCAGATCTCAGCCCCCTGAGTAGCTAGGATTACAGGTGTGAGCCCCCAGCGCCTGGCTTTTTCTTGCTATGTGGTCCAGGATGGCCTTAGACTCTGTGACCCAGGCTGACCTTGAGCTCACAATCCTTTCCCTGATTTTCCCCTCCTCTCTCCTCTTCTCTCCTCCTTCTCCCTTCCCTCTTTTTCCTTTTTTTTTTTTGCCAGTCCTAGGGCTTGAACTCAGGGCCTGGGTGCTGTCCCTAGCTTCTACCACTTGAGCCACAGCACCACTTCTGGCCTTTTCTGTTTATGTGGTGCTGAGGAATGGAACCCAGGATCTCTTGCATACTTGGCAAGCACTCTACCACGGAGCCACCTTCCTGGCCCGTCCAGCCCTGCTTTTTTGCTGCTTGTTTTGGAGATGAATCTCATGAAGTTTTCTTCCTGGGCCAGCTCATGAACTTTCCTGGGCTAGCCTCAAACAATCCTCTGGCTTCCAGCCTTCTGAGTCACTCATTATTGCCGGCATGCAAATCACTCTTCTGGGCTCATGTGTTACTTCTCTGCTGCTAAACAATGATTTATAGCAGAGTTAGCATGCACAACACATCACCTATTTATAGGCCTGAACTTCCAGCACAACTTACCTGGGTTCCCTGTTTGTGGGCTGTGGTCCCATGAGCAGCTTTACTGGCGAGACTCACTCTCAAGCCCCCTCAGACCAGTGCCAGAATTTATCTCCTGTGGCCACAGGATTAGGAGCAGAGTTCCTAGCTTGCTGGCTAACAGGCAGGGATTCCACTGTAAGTTCCTTGCCAGGTGACCCTCTACCATCAGAAGTTTCTCGACAGCCAGCAGAAGGAGGAAGCATTTCTGACACTGAGAACACTCTTGGAGGTGGACAGTAGGCACTCTCTCTAGCCTCTAGGTAAGTTACCAGAGTGGGAATGCAACTCAGGATCTAGGTATCTGTCTCCTCTGTCTCCATCCTCCTTTGCTAGGGTGATGTTGGGCCCACACAGGACTCAGAGGGAGTAGACTGCGGTCTCCTGAATTTGGAGGCAGGTTTTCTGCAAGTCTTGGACAATCTCCTTAAATTCTGAACTTTACTGGAACCAAATTTTCAGGCACTTCTAGATTCTCCACATCTCACTGAGTAAGTGTCCCCATTGCTCAGCGCTCTCCACACCGCACATTCAGGTTTCAGCTGAGTCCAAACAGTGTCAGATTACTTTTTCCCTACAACGTGTGTGTGCGCGCGCTCTCGCAGGCGTGTTTGTGTGCACGTGCGCACTGGGGGTGGGTCTTATCATCTGCCCCACCTGGTTCCAAACTCCTAGGTTCAAGGGATCCTGCCACGTCAGCCTCCACCGACTCTGGGACTACAAGCACGTCATCACACCTGGCTTTCCATGATCTATGTTGAGTTGTTCCGTAAGAGGCAAAGTACAGAAGTCAACAACAAGAATGGTGATGCTGGGGATGGAATCTAGAACTTGTACCACATAGCCACCATCCCCCCCAGCCCAATGATTGATTAGACAATGTGGGTGTCTATATTGCCGAGCCCAGTTTGTTAGTGTTGGACTATTCTTTCTCTAGTTACCTTTTGCACCATGACAAATGAGATAGCACCTTGGCCCCCAAGTTCAAGCCCCAGAAGCAGCATAAAAACCAAATGAGTTGGGCTGGGAAGATGGCTCAGTGGTAGAGTGCTTGCCTTGCATGCCTGAGGCCCTGGGTTCGATTCCTCAGCACCACATAAGCAAAAAAGAAAAATGCCGGAGGTGGCGCTGTGGCTCAAGTGGTAGAGCGCTAGCCTTGAGCTGAAGAGCTGAGGGACAGCGCCCAGGCCCAGAGTTCAGGCCCCACTACCGGACCCAAAAAAACCAAAAACCAAATGAGTTGTGGCTGGGCTTGCTGGCACGTATGTGTGCAATCCGAGCACTTACTGCAAGTTGAGCCCAGTGTGAGCTCCATAGCAAGGTCCTACCCCGCCTCATCCCCAATCAACCGTGAACAGTTACTTGGAAGTTGTTCTGTTCATCACCTAGTCATCAATATCATTGTACTTTTTTTTCCATCAGTCATAGGGCTTGAACTCTGGGCCTGGGTGCTGTCCCTCAGCTCTTCAGCTCAAGGCTAGGGCTCTACCCCCTTGAGCTACAGTGTCACTTTTCTAGTGGTTTATTGGAGATCTCACAGACTTTCCTGCCAGGGCTGGCTTTGGATGGCAGTCCTCAGACCTCAGCCTCCTGAGTAGCTAGCATTCCAGGCGTGAGGCACCAGCGCCCGGCTCACCATTGTACCTTATAGTGTCTTCAAAGCAGGTAATAGGCCCTCATAGCTTAATTTCCTGTCCCATTCAGGCTTACAATCAACTTTTGACTACCTAAATTAAATGTAAATGTACTAATTGTATTAAAACTAAAGATCAAATGCACATCCCCTAACCCATAACATAGCATCTGATCTCATCAGTGTACTTGTTTTCAGCATTTTTTTCTATTTTATCTTAAACCTTGCCTTGGAAAGGGGCCCAGGGTGGCAGCTAGAGCTTTTTTTCCTTTGGGCCCGTCACGGGGCTTGAACTCTGGGCCTGGGCACTGTCTTTGCGCTCTTCAGCTCAAGGTGAGTGCTCTACTGCTTGAGCCACTTCTGGTTTTCTAGTGGTTTATTGGAGATGAGTCTCATGGACTATCTTGCCTGGGCTGGCTTTGAACTGTGATCCTGATCTCAGCCTCCTGAGTAGCTAGGATTACAGGCGTGAGCCACCCGGTGCCCGGCTGCCTAGAGCTTTAAGCATCGTTATTCTTCTAAGTCGATTGTTTTTGGTGGTACTGGAGATTGAACTGTGGGGCCTACTGTTTGCTAGGTAAGCACTCTACTGCTGAACTCCAACCCCACCTCCAGCTTGAGGTCTATTTCTTTCACGTGTTTTGTACTGGAGAACAATTGCGGGAGGTGGTGACGGGAGAATGTCTTCATACGTTCTGGTCCAACAAGTCTCTCCCTCCTTAGAGTCTTGCTAGGGATAAGCATGGGCTAGATAAGGAGCCCAGAGCTCAAGTACAGTTGAAAAAGGTCCCACTTCACCATCCGAATTCC